AACAAATTTATTAGAGCATAAGCTTTCGTGGACTACAGCCCACTTCTTCGGATGCATATCCGAAGAAGTGGGCTGTAGTCCACGAAAGCTTATGCTCTAATAAGCTAGCTAGAGTTCAGGTATCCCTATGCACACTGCAATCACACCGCCGATTGCAGTGTAGACATACTCTCAGATAGTGGTCAGAACCAGATACTTCACAGGAAAGTGTAAGAACCGCACAAAAAAGCAGATGTGGGATCATTTGCCTCCCATTAAGGTCTCATCCTAGCCCTCAATTGTTTGAGATTAGTCTGACCCTTGAAGCAGGAGTGTTGGAACAATTTGTATAGTGGGGGAGCTGAGAGCCATTGAACCAAACTGTAAACCCTGGATATGATGGAAACCACTTCAAGCCAATGGGTGCGGCAGCACCCCGGTACACTAGTTCCAGTGTACTGAAGCATGAAGTTTTAGATCCTTTCCAAGTTTTCAGTAATACCTTTGACAACTCAGGCTATTCTTGTTGTCCACATAAATACTTAATCCTTTTTGGAATTTTGCTAAGTTCTTAGCCTCAACAACATCCTGTGGCAGTGAGTTCCACAGTCTAATTGCACATTGTGTGGGAAAGTATTTCCTTCTATCCACTTTGAATTTGCTGCTTCTACATTTCATTGCACATCCCCTTGTTCTTGTGTTAAGAGACAGGGAGAACAGAAGCTCCTCCCCTGGACCAAGCATCATTTTATAACATTTAATCCTGTTCTCTCGTATTTGTCTCCTTTCTAAGATGACCAAACCCAGCCTTCTCCATCTCTCTCCATGAGAGGCAGGCCGACAGTGCACTTAACGTTTTCAAATGATGCCACAGAGCAAGTGCCCATCTTACTTGTTTTTCACAGCTGTTTAGCCCTTTGGCACCAGTCACCTGGGATTGTGCCAGTGTATTAGGATCAGGGTAGGAGCACAGGGTCAGCCGGGACACGACGGAGTGACTGACATTTGTCTGAGAAAACCCTTCTTCCCTCACCTGCCATGGGGCTCTGAGGATTCATACAATTTAATGCCCTGGCTGCTTCTTCAACTCTGCTCCATGAGGCATTACAGCCATTAAATTCTGAGTTCCCATCTGAACCCATCAGCGCGGCTCTTAAATCGACCAGGAGGGAACAATGTTAGACATCTCCCCCCAGAGCCATGTACTGCACTTAAATACAATGGCCAAAGGTGCTACTAAAAGCCCTTTGACTGAGAGGTGTAGGTGCTGTGCCACAAAGTCCTGTGTGTGTGTGCGCAGACAGCAAGTGCTGTGCCACAGAGTCCTGTGTGTGTGTGTATGTGTGTGTGTGCAGACAGCAGTCAGCACTCCCAACACCATGGCAGAGAGTGTGTGTTAATTCCTACCATTTCTCTCACCCATCCACTAGCTAAGCCCGATATCTGACACCGCGGTTCTGCCGCTGTGCACTGTTAGAGAATTGGGAGCAACTGGGTAACAAGAGCTGGAGGAGCACAAGGTCTGCAGCCATCCCAGGGCTGGCAAGTCTCCCACACTATCCAAAGCTACAAACAGGAGCTCTGTTTCCTGAAATGGAGATGGTGGGAAGGTGGTTAAAAACCAGACCTGTCACCATCCCTCCCCTGCTGAATTTACTGGGGGTTGGAGACATGGGGGCAAGGGGGGGGGTGATACTGCAGGCAGCCAATCCCAAAGGAAATGTCACTTTTGCCCCACGTTCTGCAGTGACAATGAAAGGGGAGTACTGGCTCACATTACTATTATTTATTTGTATCGTACCTAAGAATCATGTATCATTTGTGCCACAGTAGCACTGAGATCACGGCTCCATTGAGCTAGGCACTGTACAGACACAGACAAAGAGGCCATCCCTGGTCTGAAGATCATACGCTCCATATAAACGAGGCAAATAAAGAAGAGGCAAAAAATATTTGTATCCTTATTTTACACAAGGGGGAAACGAGGCACAGAGAGGTAAAATGACTTGGCCAAAGAGTCTGTGGTACAGCCAGAAATTGAACCCACATCTCTTGAGTCCAGTGCCTTCACCACCAGACCATCTCTCACAACGTGATGGCCACCATGTTTGACTGCCATGTGGAATGACGCTATTGGCCAGTAGCCGGTATGCCAGTCCCTCCACCTTTAACTAGAGACCCCTTAGAGGGCAGTAAGAAGGGAGTTCAGCTTCTATGGGCCATTCAGTCTCGTGCCAGATTCTCAGTCTTACCACAGCATTATATTAGTTAGATTAAATTGACAAACACCCCGAGTATATGGATAATAGGAACAGCCTTGCAGCAAAAAGATTCTTTATGTGGGTGACCATTCTTTACAAGGCTTTCATTTAAGAAGGCACCAGAACAAAGGATGTCTGTGTCAATTTTGTCCTTTATCGGGTACTACATGTACCAAGATGGGTCTTTTCCTTGTTTGTTTCTTCCCCATGACCTGGTTTGTTTCAGAAAGAAACGACTGGCACAGAGGTCTCTCTTAGGGAAGGACATGCAACGAATTGCTTCGCTTAGTATCATTTGAACGATATGCTATTGCAGTTGATAAGCGAAGCAATTTGTTGCAGACACGCTCTCCACCCAGTGCAATGTAAGGAGCCTATCAGGACCAATTAGCTTTGTTAAAATGCCACCGCTACATTGGAAGAAAGGTTATGATCATTTCTATGCTTGTAATCGGTCTCCCTTCACTCTCTGCCTGGCTATGGCTAAATTATGCCTGCCAAAGATGATGCATCTTTTGGACTCCTAAAAATACCTCTGAAGAGCAATTTTTGTTTTGCTTGAAATGGATCCAGATGCATTAAGTGTCAAAAATATTTCCAAGGGATATCTACCTACAAGCTCTTTCACTTAGCACAAGCTGGACACACGATTATGCCAACAGAAGTCTGCAAGGCCTCCCTGTATTCAAATCCCTCTTGATTTCTACACGAAACCAGCTGGCTGATTAGGTCTTGGGGTAGTGAGGGATAATCTATGTATGTTGTGCAAAAAACAAACACCCCTTGCACTTCCTCCCCATTATGTTATTAAAACACTGTATTGCCAAGATGTGGCTATACACCACCAT